ATCCCCCTGCCTCAGTCTTCTCTCCATCTTCTACCCATGAAAAAGGCAGCTACTCATAGGAGGTGCCACGCGACGGGCGCAGGCCACAGCATACAGTTGTGTGGTGTCCATGCGGGAGCACTATTTGGTTGCTTATCCCCTTGGATATCAGCGTGAAAGTACTACCCATATAAGCCTTATTTCTAGCAGCTGATTGGAGGGACCTCAACCCCTTTGTTCCATACCAGTTTTTCCGGGGAAACCGGTAGGGAGTTGGAAGATTTTTGTGAAAAGGTGAGACGATAGACAGGTTGTGATGAAAGTCGTAGCCGGGGGAGGGGGGGAGACGGGGAATTTCGAGAGGTCGTGCTGAAAGCGCAATTCCACCCATCATAATGCTGCATTCGGGTGGTTACGTCTTGTTATGCCTGCTTGCCTGCCCCATCTCATGGGAATAACCTCTTCGTGCCTGTTTGTCTACGCTCTCTCACATTAGTGAGATTCGTCATGTCTGCTTGTCTGGGTCCTCTCAACGAAGGGGAACGTAGCGCACGACGAGCTCTGAGGATGAAAAGCGTGGCAAGACAAGAAGAATAGACAGACAAGACATGACATGGTAAAGTCGCGCCACTGCATGCTCTCCCCCCCCCCAACCACCTTTAGCCTAGAAGAGCTTGCAGAGATGCCAAAACTTAGCCATAAATAAAGTTATTCGCTTCAGTGGAGCATACTAGCGTGGTAGGCCCTAGATTGTGGGCCCATATTCAAGGGAAGGACTCTATTAGTCCACTCAGACCAACCTAGGTCCTGGAAGATACGGTGACCTTTAGGTCCACACCTTTAAAAAAACCCCATTTCGTTAGAGACAGCGCGTAACCAGCTGGCATCATCCTCAGCCCATCGGAAAGCGATCCACAAGGCTCAAGCGGGGAGCCCGGCCGAATCGGGCCACTGCAGGCAGCCGGTTCGCCACCATGTCATCATCATCCACTTCAAGTGGCCAACAATGAAACCCACTTGAGCCGTCCCGTTGTGTCGGGTGGTCACATCACTGCCTCGTCGCCGCAATTCTTGTCGTCCATCCGTCTACTCGTCGACAATGACAAAGATCAAGCACTTAATTCAAGTCCGATAATGCGATCGTAAACTGTCGAAAATCACGGTCAACAGGGGCTTCTCCATTGTCGGAAAAAACGCGATGGGGCGAAATTCCGCATAGAATGGACGTAATTGCGGACACATAAGTGAGGCTGAATGGACGTAATTGCGGACACATAAGGGCGGGTGAAAAGTCCAACTTCACCCAGCGGTCAGGAATTGACCTTAGGTGAGCCGTCAAAAAAATCAAGTCATCAAGGAATAGGCGACGGTGGGAACGCCTAGCCATCTACGGAAGTCAGACAATTGCAGCGGAGAAAAAAGCAAAAAGGATAGTGGCGCAGGAGTTGAAAAGCTTTACAATAGTTGACAAGTTCACTTTACAAGAGTTCACAAGTATCTTCTAACTGTGGGTGGTATCACTTCGTAGCTTCACAGGATTCTACAGGTCTACACTTGATGGCTCGACACGTCTATGGGGAACGAGGAACGTGCAAAATGCCCCCCCCCCAAGCCGAAATGCGCCGGGATAGTCGACCGACCGCGCTGTTGTAACCCATTAAGAGAGCAAAAGTAAACAAGGAAACTGCATAGAACAGCAAGGTTTCACAGAAAATTGCCGAGTACGACCCCAGCGGAGTTCGCGCGGGGGTGCATGCACGACCACACATACACACACGAATGTCTGATTCAATACGAGGGTGAATAGCGAGATCTGGGCGGGGCATGTTTATTCATACTCGGTGCGCAACTGCCTCAATCACGCCATGTGTATACTCAGCAAATCGGTCGGTCGGTTCCCCGCCGTTGACAACGATCGTCATCGTATTTCCGGTACCGGAACATGGGTGTGTGTGATGACAACATAGGGCCATGCGCGAGTTTGGTTGTTTGTGGTTGCAGACTGGTGCGTGAACGGATGTGGAGGCGTTCGAGCTGCTATAGTTGCAATTCGTCATGACGTAGCCCCAAAATGTTGCCGACGTCATCACCAAAATCGCTTGTCATCGACAGAAGGCATAGTTAGCCTAGAAGTCTAGACATTGGGATGCGCCAGGCTCCTGAGGAACACACAGAAGTGCTGAGAGCCTTGAAAGGTGTGGGAAACATGATGCTACACCCCCACCCAGTCTTCTTCTTCCCAGGATTAGTTTCGGGCGAACTCGAGCCCAAACTAAAGACATTCGACTAACCACTCGGCTATCCCTGCATAACATGCTTCACAAAGTGATTTCCCGGCACTGTACAGTGGGAAGGAGGTGGGAGGTGATGGAGGTATGAAGTGTATCGGAATGGGTTACATGGCGGCGTTTCACTACCTCCCATCACTACCAAAAGAAAACTTCCTCAGAGAAAAAATGACAGGGTGCTAAAATGCCTTTGCAACTGCGATCCCAGATGGAACTTCCGACAAGAGGAGAGATTTCCCAGTGGGTGGAATTTTGCACAGAGACATCTCACGCAATTGGAAACTTCATCCGTACCAATATCCAAACCCGGCCTATACGACTATTTTCAGATGATGATTAAGCCACAACTTCCAGTCCTGGATGATCTCTTTACCCAAGGTCATTCCAGTCTAACCCCAGAAAACCTCACACTTCGTAAGGCATTCACTACTCCTTAACATCAAAATCCTCCCATACCCTCAGGATCAGCACGTTGCACGCCACTACATTTGTACATATTACATGTAAACATATTACATAACAATTGTCTGCAACCAAATCTTGCCCCTAAGAACTCCAGAGAACTTTAGGCGCTGTTCGGCTGGGAGTGGCATCTTGAAATTTCAACAGTTGCTTCTGTTAGTACATGTTAACTCACAGGTCTCACGTTGGTGGGACCTGTCAACTCTTGTAATGCTGCTAGATGGTCAAGTGAGCCACACTGGTCACAGGCATTTTACAGGTCTTCACAAGGTAGCTCGTACAAGCCTCGCTGAGTACCACTTGGTGCTCCCAAAACTTCGTATCCCTATGAGGTCCATTAAGATCGTCACGACGTTGTGGGCGTGGTTTCACGCGCCAAGGACGTACACGCTCATTACGCGCGGTGGTCGCGCAATCATTAGCGCTTGCGCATGCTGCGCACATCGGGCGTAACTCGCCGTAATAGATGTGTGAGGCCATCAACGATGGCGGCAGTGCGAAACAACCACGTACGTGAAAATCGCAACGAATTAATTGCGCTACGACACAGCACTCTACGATCGTGTGGGGGAAGACTCGTCCGGAGCGGCTACCAACAACAGCTATGGAAGTCTTCTAATACCCTCATACCAACATCAACAATGTTCTTCCGCCCTCAACCCTTAAGGATTGGCAACGTTCAGGAAATCACCATCGGGATCGATAATTGGTCGATTTCTCGAGCAAACCATCGAAACGGGAATTCTTCGAAAAACTCGAGAACATCCGCGAGCTCTTGAAAAACTCCAATAGTCAATATTCGCATTCGATCCAAACCAACGTGCAGTTTTCAGCCGTTGAAACAGCCTTGTGCCCAGGGGGGGTCACGTTATTCCCGCGTCGTGACGCACGGTGTGTAGCGCGTAGGCATGCAGAGTGCTTTTTTGTCTCGCACTGCGGAGGAAGTGTGAAAAATCACAATTCTTTCGCAATGCGCGAGGAGAAAAAACCTTCCCGCGCATATTTTTCGTTGGAGTAGCTCAAATAGGATAGCGAGGGGGAGGGGTAATTGGCGTTGGGAAAAATATTTTCGGCTGCTGACTTTTCTCGGTTTTTCTTGTTCCGCCCCTACCCCCTCCCGTCCCTTTAACCCCACTTGATGGCAGTTTTTTCTGGGGAAACTGCGGAAATTTGGGAAAAATCCCCTGACCCTGAAATGTGATGAGGATGGCGGGTAGGACAGGGCATGAGGAAGAAGGAGGACATACTTTGCAACAATGTCTCCCATTGGGAAGACGTGCCTCGCGTCTACGTGGCCTTTTGAGAGGCTTTTGGTTCACAGCTATAATATTGCATTCAAAAAGGGACAGGTGCAGTGCATTTAGCCGCAGTTCTGCTTGGTGGGGTACAAATAAGGGGGTACGGTGGAATAGCAGAATGATGATAACAACACTCAGAAAAAGAGCTACGGTACGTGGTCCGGGATTGAATGAAGCCAAGAAGACGTCGAATATAAGGCCAACAGTCACAGTCCCCCTCTCCCCCACCAAGCCGAACTGTGGCAAAAGTTTTTTTTTATTAAAAAATATACTTGGACAAACAGAAATATTGGGGAAAAAAATTGGAAAATGAAGTTTCGTTGGTGGCACTGTTAATATCTGTGGGTCCACAGAGATACAGTAGAAACCCTGAATTGGGGAAAAAGGAAAAAAAAGAAACGTTCCCAAAACGGAAACTAATAAGGAACCTGCGATGAAAACTGTAGGAGGAGAGCGCAATGAAAAAAATTAAAATGCCAGATACAAGGAGATAACCTCCTAAATATGAAAAAAGCGGCGCAGTACGGCGACGGGTGAAGGGGAGATGGAATGGATGAGGCTGTCCCTCCAATCCAATCTGGTACTGTTCGAGGACAACACGTGTGTCTATGTGTGTGCAATGGTGGAGGAGTTTGAGAGGGAGAAAAACTGGTCAGCGTCGAACGAATGAAGTCTCTCCCCCGCAAGCAAACTACCCGACCAGGAACATGCGGAGCGACACGACGAAACGGGTGCTGAGTAGTTGAGGAAACGGAGACGGCGCAATTTGAATGCGAAGGCCGAGGGAGTGAGCCGATAGAGGGCAGCAAATGTGGAAACGACGACGAACCTCCATCTATGCAGTAATAGTAGCAAGAGGTCGCGTACAAACATCAAACAGCACACCCCTCCCGCCTCAAACGGAAATTTCCAGTCTTTGGTGTAGAGCAGCATCACTACTGCAATTGATCCATCTTTTCTTTCCATCAATTGATTACTCACCAGGTGTTTCGCTCTGAAAAGTCTCACAAACTTTTTCCAGCTTCGGTCCGCAAGTGCCGGCACCCCCCCCCCACCACTCCGCTTTAAGAACCTATGAGTTCTTGATAGCCAAGTCGAACAAAGTCATTCTTTCGAATTTCGCTACTAAATGGCTTATAAAGAGACATCCATATTTCCCGGACTGGGCAGCGAGGATAAGGGGCATAGGGTCATGTGGGTGGAGCGTCGACTTCGATTTCTGCCGAGTGACCACTACTGCCCACCCACTGTCACTCCATAGACGCACAGACGCAGCTACACCCTTTCGATGGCTGACTAGAACGGTGCTGAGAGGAAAAATAAACCAGAGATAGCCGGTACAGGGCCTAAAGAAGATCGTGCAATGGCTGATTCCAATAGGAAGACACGGCATGGGGGGTGATCGAGACGAAGAGTGGATTCCGGTCAGTACTCACCTGAAACGTCGCCAGTTCAGCCATCCCAACACTTCTGACGGCACATGCGGGGAGGAGGGCATGGGCCCAGCTCGCCCACTTGTCCAAATGGACCACCCATATTTGAAATAGTTTTGGTAGGCGATTTCAGCTTCTTTAGCCGTTGGTAAACCTTTCACGCCCAAACCAATAAAGAAAAGGTAAAACCGAAATGATATGATTCAATCTTGCAAACCTGGATGGCGTAAGTTTAGAGAGCCAACCATTCTTGCATATAAAAAGAAAATATGTTGATTCAGTCTGCACAGAGCTCTATCTCGCGATAGAAAGATCGGCGCATGAGGTGGAGGACATTCACAGGACTCCCTGTGCACACCTGGCAATGCTGTAATGAAATGGACGATTTCTGCTCAAGCCTAGCAGGCAAAGAGCTCCATTGTGGATGAATCCACTATCTTGGGCACAAAGAGGGGTTTGCTTCACTATAGTGCCAATTTTTCATACGAAAATCAGGCCTATCGGCTTGGTGGGGGCAATCATCATATGGATCACTGGCGTTGCCTCCTGCGCGGAAACCTGTAAAATCCTATAAAGCTATGCAGTATCGTGAGCTTCGACAATGGTCTACGCGTGACGTGTATTCAACAGGAACTTACACAAAATGGGCTAAATACCCCCCTTCCAAGCCGAATAGCGCCGAAAATCATACCCTTTCAGCCGTCTTGAGTGGAAAATTATCCTGTTGTACTGAGTTACGGGTAAATAAAGAAGAGAACGAAAGGTTTAGCTGCGGTCTGCTTGCCGGTGGATAAGTTAGGAAATCTCATTAGGGATAGGAAAAAGGAACGATGACATCCGCACTGACTCCGGAAAATAAGCCGAAAACTTGACAAACATGCTTCAATCTGCGACTGGAAAAAATACGTGGAAGGGTGGGTGGGGGTAGTAAAGAACCAGTTGAACTCACTTACAGTCAACTCTGCAATGATTTCTAAAGAGCGACTTGGCAAAGCCGTGGAACATTCCTCTAAGGAGAAGGACAGTGATACTGACCTTTGCAACTTGCAGCGCTTATGGAATCCTCTATGGGGCAAGCCCCACGAGGATGCAGAATTGTAATGGGATTCCCGTTCCAACAAATGGTCCAGGGGCCAAGCACGATGTCTGGTTCATGGTGAAGCCAGATGCCAGAGCCAGCAAACAATGTATGAGGTGAAACCCTGAGCCAATCTGGCAGGAATGCTCATCCGAACAACCAAGTTGACACGAACTGGGGGATGGGGGGTGGAGGGTCATCGAGGCGTCTATCAAAGCGGAGCTATCGAAATGACGCCACTGAAACGATTAGGCGATTCTTACGCCCATCCTCATGATAAAATCAGTTGGGTGACATCAGTTTCGACGTAATCGTCGTGCAGTAGGAGGAACAGCCGGATGGACGAGACTAGTTGGTGTCAGCACGACACTCACACTCTCATGACGTCATAGTCATTCAGCTACGAAGGAAATGCAGCATGGCTGAGCAGACTAGCACGCTAGCCGATAGCCGCCGCAGCGGCGCTATGCGGGGCACGGGATGTCCTTGGTCGAGGGGAGCTGCTGAAATGAGGCTTCCGCCCAACGATGCCGGCGATGAACTCAATTTAATGAGCATGTCACAGAACGCTGCACAGCTCGGACGACCGTTGAGCATCCTGCACTGAATCTCGTCAGAATGCTGTCGCCACTAAGACGTCGTGCAATACAGAACATGCCAAGGGGGGTAGTACAAGTTTGATGGTTGATTCCTAATATTCATGGCTAACTGATGAGATGGCAAAATTTCCAATGATTCTCCATCAGGGAGGGACCCCTCCCCCTTTCCGAAAACGCCATCGGCAAGCGGTACTGGTCAGGGTACGTCGTTCGTTGGGACAGGGCACGTCAGACGTCAGAGAATCCCCAGCGGAGGGCCGTATTGGTCGATGGGGGTGGGAAGGAGGTCGTGCTCAGCTTTAGCAAATTCCTTTGATAGTTAATTTTTCCTGTTTCACGCGCGCTAAATCTAAATCGCTGGGAGACCTAATGGGAAAAAGGGAAGAGAGGATCGCATTTTCTCAACGTTGAAGGAAGGAGTCGCATTCCCAAAATATTCCCGAGTGGCGGGAAGTGCGCTGCACTGGTGATTCATCAGAGGAAAGGGTCGTATTTGAACGCAATAGGACGGGGGTCGTATTGCTGGACGGTAATGATGAAAATAGTGGGCGTTGAATGAGGTAGTAGCGCCTGGGAACCCAGTAGCAACGGCGAGCTCCTGTTCCAAAAGCCGATATAAAGAGAAACTCAAAAAGCGACCATCCCTAGAAAACCACTCCGTACATGTCCATATCTCGGAGTTGGAAGGGGCGTGGCTGCGCACTTCATCTGAAAATGTCTAGAATGCCTTTTCCAAGGAGGGAACCATGTGAGAGAACTGCCATCCTCTCTTTCCTGAACAAATCGTTACAATTGCCACAAAACGACAGATTCCAGCAGAAGCGCGAGGCACAGTTCAATATGGAGTATTGCCAGCCACGCATTACCACCATTCTCCGGGATCAATGGTGACTATAGTGCTGTTCTCATTTCGCTGAGTCTCATCAATGCACTGAACTAGAATGCAGGCTATCCCTGCACTGCAGGTTGTCAAACAATCTTCGGTAGAACAAGTACATTACATGAGAGGCATCATGGGTAAAGTTATCAATCTGTTCGGTTCCACAGTGTTTCTAAGATTAGATCTGACCACCTGACGACACAAAGACCCTGATCTTCATGCCACCAACACGTCTCCCTACCTTGTCCACATATTCGCCGCCTCCTGGTATTTCTCGGCCGAATATGAAATGCTTGTTCAGTCCGCGCCCACCTCAAACGCTTACTCCGCCCACACGGGGTCTGCATTCATCTTACCCGTCAATGACTTGAGAATACCAGCCCATTTTCATGAGATTTTTTCATCGCCATCCAAGCTGGTACCATGCGACCACCAAAAGGGTGCAGGCTTTAGGCAAGCTGGAGGAATTTGTATCTACGTCGTGTAGCCAGGGCATTCCGTTTAAGATTCTCATGAAGGCAGAGGGAGGGGGACGTGAGGGTCGTATTCGGGCAGGATCTGGAAAATCGGGGATCGAAGGGTTGGAGAATCGGAAAAGTTACGAAAAGATAGCATGCGTATCGACCTGGGAAAAGGTGCACATCGACGAATTGTAGATGAATCGATAGGGATCCAGTCTACTTCACAAACTTTCCCATTCATCGGTTCTTTGATTCTACTGATCGACGCTATACTTTCGCAATTGGTAAGATTCCCAAAACTTTCCTGCCCCTCCCTCCAGCCCACCCCCCCCCCAAATCTCGCAATTTTCTAATTCTCAAGTGCCTCGTGGTGCCAATGGTACCAACGCGGTCTAGCAGAACATATTAGTACGAGGTTCAAGGGTGCAAACGCAGGGGGTAGGCAAGATCAGGAAGCAGGAGTTCCAGTGCATAAGCTCACATTTTCAAGCCCACGCAAAATAGGACCCTTATTTAGGGCTTTTTGTCGCGCATCCTCCGCCAAGCAAGCCAGAACACTGAGCAGCGCCCATGAAGAGCGCTGATGTAGTGGTGTTCGCAACAGCCCGAAAATGTGAGCAAGAACTTTCGGCATTTGGCACACAACAACGTAAGGAGCATCACAACGGAGGGGTGGAAGGGGAGGGGAGTGGGGGGACAAAGCAGCCTCACTAATCCGCGATGTTTCGCGCTAAAAATAGCCGAAAACAGCTTCATAATAGCGTACTCAAGCGTTCCCCGGCAGCTGTCGTCAATGAACTAAACACCTCCTCGTTCCACAACCACCTGCAGACCTCCAGACACACGCAAACAGCAAGCCAGAAAATCAATAAATAAACTTCAAAAAAACGGAAAAACAATAAACACATAGTATATTCATTGTATGAAGAGAAACGATGGCGGACGGTCACGCCGTGTCAAGAGAAGGCCGATGGGCTAGAGGGGGCAAGAATGAGCGCGACTTTCCAACTTAAGAAGTTGAATGAATGGTTCATAGGAACCGTCCTAAGAACCTTAAAGAAGGGGGCGGGGGGGGGACAAAAGAGCGGAGAGCGTATGAGAAACGAAGAAAGAAAGGTATGAAACCAGGAAGCCTCTGAATGCCCCCTCAATTTGCTGCGCCTTGTAAAAACTACATGGTCCCGGCAAAGAATTCGATTATCAAGAAAAAAATCGATAAATAGCCAAGTGCAAAAAAATCGAACATGTTATGGATAGCCCTATCGCATGCGGCTCCGGTAACGAGGTTATTGGACAAGGCACATCATTGCAAAACTTCTATTCAGTAGCTATGCCTTTTCCCCAGCAACCCGATACGCCCCCTCTTTTCCCCAGAGATTTCTGGTAACACGCACAATACCGCATTTAGGAAATACGGCATGCTAGTCGAAAAATCAATAATCGACTTTTCCAAGAAAGTCACAATTGCCGCATATCGCTTCAGCCCTTCGCATATGGAACAAAAAATATGACTCGGGCGTCAGCGATGGGATCAGTAATCGATCGGTTTCGTAAAAGATCAATAATCGATCCGTTTCACAAGAGATCAAGGATCGACCGCTCGCGCAGACGATCAATGTTCAATCGGTTTCGCAAAAGATCAATTATCGATCGGGCAAAAATCAGTAGGAAGTAAAAGGCATAATTACGACGTCAATTCA